CATATATACACATATTTTTACATGTCTACACATATTTTTATGTGTTTACACATATATTTCGCATATAAAAATGTCTTATACTTTGAGATATCTATAGAGAAACAAAATATAAAAATAAAAAATTAGGAAAGACCATATATAACGGATCGGATACACGGATAAACGGTTATTTAAACGGATGTCAATGCGGAGCGGATTATAAACGGATCGGATGTATGATTACCAAATCCGTATCCGTTTAGCAATCGGATATCCTTAATCGGATACGGATAATAACCGTTTTTAACGGATGCGGATATTTTCTATATAAACGGATACGGATGCGGACGGTAATCGAATTTTCGGTTATCCGTTTACAGCCCTACTCAAGCCAACTTGTGCCATTGAAGCCATATATAGCCATTCATGATCTCATAATCCCCCCTGTTTTGGCATATCCTCAACTTCTCCTAACCTTAATCATTTCCTTCCACTATTGACACAAGATCAACTTAGGAATGTAATGTTGTAATTTGTATTTTCAAGTGGTATTTTCATCTAGTTGGAGTTGAACTTTTTATAATTAATATTTTCGACATAGAGGGATTAAAACCTATATTGGATGGTTTTACACAATTAAATACATATTTAATCAATTTTATTACTAAAAACAAACCGTGTAGACGTAAAGACTTAGGACGAGTTTGGTAAAAACATTAGACACTACAAAAAAATTGGGTTTTTGTTGCATCAAAGTTTGCCATAAATATTTTTTGTAATGGGATATTTGTGGTAATTAATACTCCATAGAATCTACCAAAATTTTACTCCGTATTATGGTTAATATAATATATTTTTTGTTTTTATGGAGCATAATTTTTTTAGTACTTCTAAATATATGAAGTATTTATTTGTAATTGATATTTTCAAGTGGTATATCCCTCGAGTTGGAGTTGATTTTTTTTTTTATAAATAATATTTTCTAGTAAGATGGATTTAAACCAATATTCGATGGTTTTACAGGAACTAAATGCATCTTTAATCTATTTTAATTTGTTTGTAAAAAAGAAAACTCTCTTCATCTTAAAAATAATTTCAATAGAAAAGATGTAGACTTAGGTCATTTTTGGTAATATATCATTAGAGTTTAGTGTTAGCATCTAATTTTATTAATAGAAAGATACTATAAATATAAAAGATGTTGAGACTTGGGCCAAAAAGCTAAAAAAGTGTCAATTTTGACTATTAAAAAAATTAAAAATGAGACTAATTAATTGTAGGACGTTAGGAGTACAATTTTGATTAAAAATGAAAAATATGCGAAAATCAAGTAGGGAGTAACTCCAAAGAAGGGGTTTATTACTCCGGTCCGTACGTAGCAATTAAGCCAACGAGAGTAAAGTGCGTAGCTTTGTAATACTCCCTCCGTCCCATAAAGTGTTACCCATTTTGACTAAAGTTGAAATTAAGGGAGAAATAAATTTGTGTTGACTTTCCACAAATACCCTTGATGTGATGGGTAAAAGTAGGATGTGATGTGTAGATTATTAGGAAAAAGGTATGATGTGATAGGTAGAGTTTGAAAAAGTAAGGGGTAAAAGTGGTTTTTTAATAGAAATGAGTAAGTGATTATGGAACGCAATTTTTTTGAAACGTGTAAATCTTTTTAGGACGGAGGGAGTATAATACTCCGGACCATATTGGTCATTGCAATAAAATGACTAAACTAGCCTTCAATTCCTAGGTTAAGACTTAAGTATAGTAGCCGCGCGCCAAACAAACATTTCCCGTAGCTATCTAATGATGATTCCACATTTATATACGGAGTAGTAATTTGGTAACCCTACCTAATAAGAAGGCCGGGCAATTAAATGAAATATGTTCTTGAAATTAAAGTACATAATTTTACGCTAATTAGCAATTACCCCCCGCCGCCGACCTAATTAAACTCGCCACATATATATATATATATATATATATATATATATATATATATATATATATATATATATATATATATATATATATATATAAGAGTAGCGTATTATGCATAAACGTAGGTTTAGTATACACTAATTAACATACATGAAAATCATCATTCCATCGTCAGTAGCAGAAAGCATGGGTTCCGGTGGTCGCCGTGAAGATCAAGAAGCCTTGATGCCGCAGAGTTCGGTCGTCGGCGGCCGGAAGAAGGTCCACTTGGTCCTCGACTTGGACCACACCCTTGTCCACTGCGTCCCCGTCTCCAAACTCACCCTTCAAGAATATTCCGCAAGCATGCAGAAGAAGACGATGATGATCAGCAGAAACCCCACCGCCGCCGGAGACACCCACCTGCTCGACGGCGGCGCCTTGGTTCTCAAATTCCGGCCAGGGGTGCGGTCGTTCTTGGAGGAGGCCAGCGCCATGTTCGATTTGTCCATCTACACCATGGGCACCCGCCACTACGCCAACCAGGTCGCCGCCAGACTTGTCCGTCACGCTTCCCGCGGAGGAGGAGGATTGTTGTCGTTCGTGAAGGTGATATCGAGGGAGGACTGCACGGTGGCGAAGCAGAAGGGTCTGGACGTGGTCCCGTCGCACCGGAGGGCCGTGCTGGTGGTGGACGACAAGCCCAAGGTTTGGGCGAGGGAGGACAGGGACAACGTCGTGACCATCTCCCCCTATTACTTCTTTGGTCTCAACAAGGGGGGCAAAGATGAAGAAGAAGAAGAAGACAAGGGAGAGCTTTCGAGGGTTCTTGGAGTTCTGAAAGAGGTTCACTCCAGGTTCTTTCATCAGCTGGAAGAAGGTGAGGGCGGCGAGAGAGACGTGGCGCAAATCTTGAAAAGGGTTCGATTGTTCATGCTCTATCACGGCCCTCCCGACGTGTCGTCGTTGTTGCATCATCATGGCCGTCGTCGTCGTCGTCGTCATCAAGAAGAAGAAGAAAAGGAGGAAGGAGGCCGCGGAGAGGATTGGAGTAGAATCAAGAGGATCAAGATCGTGTTCAGATCGGGAACGTGCGGGGTGGCGTCGCCGCCGCCTATAGCCACCACCGCGACGATTCTTTGATGCAAGAAGCGAGGGAGAGAATTCGGAGAAGATCAAGTGATCATCATCATCTTCAAGAAATTGCGGCGGCGTGGGGCCGGCCAAGTTGATGGCAGTGACTAATCTTGTACTTTTTTTTTGGGTGAGTTCAATAACGAGAGCACCAATTGATACGATATCGTATCGGGTTAAGGAAGGATTAACACCTTCGAGCTATAGAATTGAGGGAAAGGAAGAGACTGAGAAAGGAGAGGGGAAGACGGCCGTTGATCGGCGAGGAGGAGAGGGGGAGTTTAGGGTTAGAAGAATATTTCTTTATTGATTGAATAATAAACTCATGCATAATGGCTACATATATAGATGGTTGATCTAAAGAGTCCTAGCCATAAAAGGTAACTAAATAAATTAAAATACTAATAACCTAATATAATAATACTTCCTAATAATAATATAATTATCTAACCATAAATAATGATAATAGTAATATAATAATAATGGTAAGTAACTAAATATAGTCCTGTATCACATACCCTAATNGGGTTAGAAGAATATTTCTTTATTGATTGAATAATAAACTCATGCATAATGGCTACATATATAGATGGTTGATCTAAAGAGTCCTAGCCATAAAAGGTAACTAAATAAATTAAAATACTAATAACCTAATATAATAATACTTCCTAATAATAATATAATTATCTAACCATAAATAATGATAATAGTAATATAATAATAATGGTAAGTAACTAAATATAGTCCTGTATCACATACCCTAATTTTTATTCTCTTTATCAATCTAACCCTCTTCCCTCGAACAAATCTCTCTCTCTCTCTCTTTGACACCGTCGTATCTTTCCAATTCTTTCGCGTTGGTGCACGAATTGGAGGCCATACATGAGGCATGCATGCATTAGTACGTTTCCGTCCGTCTCAACAAATGAATTATGAATTGTAGGGGTATGAATGCAAAAGGACTTTGTTATGTACTCCGGGACAATCCAAGGTACGGAGTATATAAATAATTAGATCATATCATGATAATAGTCATCGGAGTTGTTTCTCTGAGTAAATAATCATGCATAAGCACATCCAAGAATTGTGTAGTAAAAAACTCATTGATTGATGAATATTCTTCATATGCTGCTATTTGCTAATGAATATATTCTTCAAAACGAACAACACTCCAACCTAACCTCGCCAAGCTTCACTCGAACATAAATTAAATGAAGAAGACCCACAAGTTAAAGGACTAAACTCGATAGGGATTACTAGCTAGCACTCTCACAAATTAAAGAAAGTGACAGAATACACTGCCCTGCACTCACAAAGCAAGACACAAAAACTACGGCTTCTCACTACTCACACTCTCCACTCCCCACACGCAGCACACACACACAACAATACCTAAGCAAGGATATTTAATTTTATTCTCGATAGATAGGATGTTGCTAGTTATATTTTATGCGTAATTCTCCCTCCGTGATTTTAGTATCATTGACTAGTATCATTGACAAGTTAGGAGGTGTGCGGAGTACACTGCACGCTCACTCAATAATATTCTAAATTCATAGCGGGAGTCCGGGGACAGCAGCCACATGTAGTGGGGTCCAAGGGGCGGCATCCCTTAGCCGGGGTCGAGCTGAATTTTTTTTTATTTTAGACATTATTGCTTTATGAAAATCATTTATGGTATGTTTGGGAACATGGATTTGGATTTCAAATCCAGATTTGGCTCAAATCCATGTTTGGAAAACTTAAAAAATTTGAATTTAGATTTAAGTCAAATTCTTCTCATTCAAAACAAAGTTTAATTTGAAATACATGCTCCTCCCCTTATCATTTGAAATTCAAGATTTTAAATTTTGAAATTGAAATGAAATGCAAGTTGCCAAACACTAAGATTTTTTGTGAATGGAGTCCAAAAAATTCAAAATTAAACGCTCGAAAATAGGCCAAACCACATGCAACTTTTCGTTGTAAGGATGCATTTTCACATGAATGTATCTAATGTCTTCGTTTCTATAAATATAGAGACGTAGGTATGGGTTGAGATAGACAAATTCGAAATGCTTGTTCTTGTTGGTGTATTGTCTCACTACACTCACTGTTCAGATATGCACTAGGTTCCACGAGTAGTGATTAAGAAGGGAGCAAAATGATACAAATAAATTAGCTAGCAATGATATATATGATCTTTTCTTTTCACATATATGAAATCTGAGTAATACACCATATATTAAAATTAATAATGCTTATTTACATTCTGACACCTTATTTCAACTTTCAAGGGCTACCCTCCACTCGCTCCTATGAGAAGGAAAAAAAAACACTACATACAAAATGAAAAAAAAAGGGCCCTTTAACTATATTTCTAGTTGTATATATATAATACTATGAATGAAGGATATATAGGACTTGTCATGGTCCTGCTAGCTCGATCGGCATAGATTGGCTTCTTCATTAAGCATCTACAGATCTTGATGGTGGACCACAAATGCTCAATACCACCTGCACCATATATATATTTAACACAAACACACAGCTCAAATATATTACTACTGTGTATTACTTTATATATATTGGTGCACACACACACACACACACACACACACACATGGTTCACAATGGATCAATCTTTAATTGGTCTGTAAATGGGACAGTTCCAAAAAAGAAAAAAAAGAATGCGTCTTACAGGTAAGAAGATGAGGCCATGTAGAAAACCAAGAAGAACCAAAGCAAGGTACATTTGGAAATAGTAAACCTGCAATTAAATGTACCTAAAGTGATTAATTCAACTCTTTTAAAAAACAAGTATAAGGCTTTATTATTGTAGTGTATTGTATTCTATTCTATAGTTAACAAGAAAAACTTCTTCTGCGTACCACAAATACTTCCGAGCGTGCGAAACACAGGACGATCACCCCAACAAGCTTCGTGAGCGTGATACCACTGCAAAATAGTAATAAAAAAGGGGTAATATAATGGGAACATATTCTTTTGAGGTGAGGTGGAAAAATAGTTCATTCTCAACTACTACTTCAACTCCATGGATATGCTCCGTAAAATAAAAGTGCAGAAACAAAAGGAAGGCGAAAAAACATGGGGAATTGAGAAGGGAGAAGTAGTCCGAACCTAAATACGGAAGCTCCCATTGTCGTCAAAGCCTCCTTCATGCGTTGGTTCCTATCTCCACTGCTAACCTGACATTCCATTTTCAAATCACAAACTATTATTTAAAACAAATGAAAAGATATATCCACACACACAGAAAAAGGAGGCCTCCGTCCCAAAATGAAATCCTTTTTTTGTCCCAAAAACAAATACTTATGATCTCTCTCGCTTCTCAAAAAATTTCAACCACTCACCTTTCACTTATCAACCATCAAAGTGTACGTAAACTCATTTTTGGGTGGGAGGGAGGGAGGGATGGAGTATATGTTACGTTAGTCAAGGTTGAATACTGAAGGTGTTTTGATTCTTAAGCATGACGACATACAAATAAAGGCTTGCGAAGCAACACCTAATATAACCCCAGGTAGGGAAAACTTAGTGCGTCCAACCAAGGAAAACAAGCAACCAATAAGATATATACAAGGGAAAGAAGAAGAGACTACTTCAAAAAAAGAAGAAGAGACTGACCAGAAAAGCGTGTGTAATGTGCACACAGAACTCAACAGCAATACCCACTGACATTACAAGGTTAACAACCGATACTGCATTTAGTTGGATATTTAGGATCGCCATTACGCCCTGCAAAATATAAATGTGTAAAAAAGACAGAATGATAAAGATGTGCACTGCACCACTGCATTAGAGATTCTAAAGAAGCTCGTGTACCATCATATCCACTACGATCATCACCAGCACAAGTAAGATAATTGCTGAAGTCCAGAAACTGTTTTTCAAGAATCAATGTAATTACAAACTTAAAGAAGATGAAAAACAGTGCTTTGGAAATTTATATAAAGAAGAGATTACTAAGTAACCTTACCTGCATGTAATGGCGAAGCATACTACAAATACAGCACCTAGTCAAATAACATGCAGAAAAAAAGGTTTTAAAAAAAGTAACTAGGAAATCCGGTGGGGGGGGGGGGGGACTGGTTGGAAAATGTCTCAAATCTTCAATTTCCCAGAACAATATCAAGGCTCATCAATATATGTGCTTAAGTAGAATACCATATATAATCGAATTGACAAGGTGACCATGGTTCAAAAATATATGATCATTGACAAGGTGCAACTGTATAAGATTACTAACCAATAGCTATGGCAAGGTCTACTAACGCTGTCCTCCATATGTCAAGATATTGCTCAAAGAATATATAAAATACAGAATAAGGAAAGACCTCCATCTGCATCACAGAAAATACCCAGACAGTGAGCATGAACACACACTTGTATAGCCCACCTTTTCAATGTACTGACATATGGTTGGGGAAATTACAAAAGAAAATAACAGTGTCCTCACAGTTTCTAGAAGTTGAAAGGTCTGAATGTACAAAAGTAGATTAATAGAAAATCCTTTAGATTTAAAGTGTTGTGCAACAACAACAACTACCCAGATGAATCCCACAAGAGTAGGTTTGGGGAGGGTTTGTGTACGCAGACCTTGCCCCTACTCAAAAGTAGCGAGGCTGTTTCCAAAGAGACCCCGGATCAGCGTTGAAAGTTGCATTGATTGATTAACTGCTACTTCATTAATTAAAGAAGCGCAAACAGTTTAGAGATCCACTTAGCCCATCACACCCCAAAGTCAAAAAATAGTGAATTTTTGGCTCCATCGGAGATGATGGACAAAATAATTAAAGTGTTGTGCATGGAAAACAATTATGAGCTACTACAAAAGAATATGAATACCAAACTCTGACAGAAAACTCGCCTTCAAAGAATCAGAAACTCTAGAAGCAAATTCCCGGGCAGCCTTCATTGAGTTAACGTAGTCAACCTAAAAAAAATATATAAAAAAAAGCTGAATTAATAGAGGAACACTAAATGAATTCAAATGAGAATTTTAAACTGTGAATTGCATACTTGCTTGTTGAGAGGGGTGTGAAATGTACGAAATGCCGATGCTTGAATAACACCATTTTCGTAGCCTATAAGCAGAATGGAACACAGTTAGCCAAGCTAAACGAATCAGAATAGGGGAAGGTAATAAGTGAAATCTTGATTCAGACGATTAAAGTATTTACTAATT